TTGAAAGCAGGTCTTTAAAATATTTAGGCCATAGTCACTTTGTACTAAATTTCTCAAAAAGAATGCCAATTTGCTCCTTTTTTTGCAGCTTCTCTCTCCTCCTACTCACCCACTCTTCTCTCTCTAAAGCACAGTTATCTTGCTTCCTTTTTACCTGAAATCCTCCAGTGGCTTTTCCTGGCAGGTGCACTCCCGTGAATTTGTTAGCAGGATCACCTTGGTTTGCTCAGGCTTGCAACTGACTGCTCTTACATTTGTCTCTAAATCCTTGATGATGCCAGGGATTCTTCCTAGAATAAAACTTTCTCCTTCCTACTTTCTCTCAAGAATGATTTATTGCTCCTTATTCTGTTTCCTTAGCACTTTAACTCTGTAGCACTGTCATAATTCTTCTTATTACTTTTGCATTGCATATGTGACATCCCTCACTGAACTGAGCCCCAAACGCTCAGATGCTCATGGCAGTTTTTAGTGAGTCAATGCATGAGAAGTGCCTTATAAATAACAATAGCAAGTTCCGACTAGTATTCAGAGATGCTAAAACTATACTTGCTGAGTTGATTAGAGAACCTTTGTTGGTGAGAGCTTCATTGCTTGGGTAATGTAATAGAAGACGCTAAAGTGAGTTTTAAAACAGTAATGAAGTTAAGTTTTGCCAAGAGAACAGAAAATCTATGTGAAAGTCATTTCAATATTCTATTGCAACATGTAATGTATTTATTTTTTAAGGAATTTATTAATTGAAACATTGATTATACATATTTATGGGATATATAGTTATAGTTCAATACATGTATGCAAGGCATAATTATCAAATCAAGGTCTTTAGCAAATTCATCATGGCAAAAATTTATCTTTTTTTTTTTGTGATGACAACATTTGAGTTCCTCTCTTGTAGCCATTTTAGAACATACAATAAATTATTGTTAATTATAGATGCCTAGCAGTACTGTACACAACTAGAATGTATTTTTCCTATCTAGCTGTAATTCTGCATCCATTAACCACCCTCTCACAGTTCCCCCTCTGCCTTCCCCTTCCCAGCCTCTAGTAACCGTAATTCTACTCTCTACTTCTAAATGCTCTTTTTTTTTTTTTTTGCATTATCTTTAATTTATTTTCCCATGAACTTTTTTTTTTTTTATTTTGTCAATATACACTGTATATGCTCAACTTTTTTTTTTCTTAGCTCTCACATATGAGTGAGAATATGTGGTATTTATCTTTCTGTGCCTGACTTATTTCACTTAACATAATGTCTTCCAGGCTCATCCATATTACTGCAAATAGCAGGATTTCGTTCTTTTTCATGGCTGAGTGGTATTCCATTGAGTGTATATATCACATTTTCTTTATCCATTCACCTGTCAGTGAACACCTAGGTTGAGTTCCTATCTTGGCTACTGTGAATATTACTTCAATAAACATGGGAGTGTAGATACCTCTTTGGTATGCTAGATTTTTTTCTCTTTTGGAGAAATACCTAGCAATGAGATTGATGTAAAATATTATAGTTCTAGTTATAGTTTTTCGTGGAAACTTCATACTGCTTTCTATAATAGCTGTATTAATTTACATTTCCACCACAGTGTATGAGTTCCCTTTTCCCCACATTCTCACCAGCATTGTTATTTTCTGACTTTTTGATAATAGCCTTTCTAACTGGAGTAAGATGATATCTCATTGTGGTTTTGATTTGTATTTCTCTGATGATTAGTGATGTTGAGTATTCTTTCATGTGCCTGTTAGCCATTTGTATGTCTTCTTTTGAGAAATATCTATACAGGTCATTTCCTATTTTAAAATAAAATTACTTTAATTATTTCATTTTATGTTTTGCTGTTGAGTGGTTTAAGTTACTTGTATATTATGAATATTAATTCCTTGTCAAGTGAAAAGTTTGCAAATATTTTCTCCTTTTCTCCAGGTTGCCTCTTCTCTCTGTTAATTGTTTCTTTTGCTGTGCAGAAGATTTTTAGTTTCATATAATCCTATTTATCTATTCTTTCTTTGTTGCCTATGATTTAGAAATCTTCTCCATAAATTTTTTGCCAACAATAATGTCTTAAAATGTTTCCCCTATGTTTTCTACTAGTAGTTTTATAGTTTTGGGTTTTACATTAGAGTCTTTATCCATTTTGAGTTGATTTTAGTATATGGTGAGAGATATGGGCTCTAGTTTCTTTCTCCTATGTACGAATATCCAGTTTTGCCATCACCATTTATTAAAGAGGTTGTCCTTTCCTCAATACATGTACTTGGTGCCTTTGTCAAAGATTGATTGACTGTAGTTCTGTGGATTTATTTCTGGGTTCTCTATTCTGTTGCACTGATCCATGTGTCTGTTTTTTGTGCCAGTTCCATGCTGTTTGGATTACTATAGCATTGTAGTATATTTTGAAATCAGGTAGTGTAATGCCTCCAGCTTTGTTCTTTTTGCTCAGGATTGCTTCAGCTATTTGGGGTCTTTTATGGTTCCATATGAATTTTAGGATTGATTTTAGGATTTCTGTGAATAATGGCATTAGTATTTTGATAGGGATTGCATTGAATATGTAGATTGCTTTGGGTAGTATGGTCATTTTGACAGTATTAATTATTCCAACCCATGAACATGGAATGTCTTTCCATTTTATTGTGCCCCGTTTAATTTCTTTCATCTGTGTTTGGTTTTTTCATTGCACAGAAACTACATTTCACCTGCTTAGTTAAATTTATTCCAAGGTTTTTTTTTTTTTTTTTCATTTGTTTGTTTTGTTTTCTTTTAGTAGCTATGGTATATAGGATTGCTTTCTTGATTTCTTTTTCCGCTAGTTTGTTGTTGGGGTATAGAAATACTACTAATTTTTGTATGTTGATTTTTTATTCTGCAACTTTAGTGGATTTATTTATCAGTTCTAAGAGTTTTTGGAGGATTCTTTAGGTCTTTCTATATATATCATGTCATCTGCAATCAGAGACAATTTTGACTTCCACTTTTCCAATTCGACTGCCCTTTATTTCTTCCCCTTGCCTAACTTCTCTGGCTAGAACTTCCAGTACTATGCTAGATAGGAGTCGTGAGAGTGGGCATCCTTGTCTTGTTCCTGTTCTTAAAGGAAAAGCTTTGAACTTTTCCCCATTCAGGATGGTATTAGCTGTGATCTTGTCATATATGGCTTTTACTGTGTTGAGATACTTTCCTTCTATACCTATTTGTTGAGAGTTTTTATCAGCAACATGCAATTTATAAAAAGGAAAAATATTGAAATTTTTTGTCTAGTAATGACACATTAATTAACATTATATATTGCAAGGATACTGACGGCCAAGTTAATAAACCATTAAATTGGCAGTTTCTGGAAACTCTGCAGTGTTAATATATAAATTTTGTGCCCATGTTATCAATTTTAAAGTTAATGTAGGTGTTGAAATATCTGCAGTATAGAGGACATAGTAAAATTTTTGCTATGTGGCTTGTCATAACACTTTTGTTCAAGTCCAAAATTCATAACCTCCCAGTGACCCCTGTCCTTCCCCAGCCTTGGTTCTCAACATCTTTTCCACCTTTTCTGTGGATTTCCGGAATGCACCACTCACTCCTGCTTCAGGCCTCTGCCAGTCTCATCTGCTTTCTGTGGAAAGAACTCTCTTTCTCACCACTTTTAACTTTAATATTCTATGCATCTTTCATCCACTATTTAAAATTTACTTCCTAGAGAACATTTCCCTGACTTCACCATCTATTTTGATGTAAATTCTTATTGTTATAAAGGCACTTACAATAATTCGTACTAGCATATTTTCTTGTGTGGTTATTTGCTTAAAATCTGTCCTTGTCAACTTCCCTACAGACATTACAAACTCCACATTACTAAAATGTACTTTACAATCTGTTCATCACTGGACTATACTCAGAAAAATATTATATTTTCATTTTTTTTCTCTTAAGACAGAATAGGAAAATCAATACATACAGAGAGAAAATATCATCTTTTTAGCTTTCTGAGCATCTACTGGCAGCAGTGTCAGAGCTACTTTCTACAATGCTGGAAACAACTGCATTTCATTAGCTCTGCACCAGCAATTACAGGCATCTACCTAGGAAGCAAGGGAAATAGTTACTATTTTTAACACACTTGCCAAAGCATAAAATGCCATCTAACATTTTAGGTGTTTATTGTTAACACATTTATATACCTCCATATAAAGAAGTGCTTAGAGACACCAGTGATTAACCTTTTGATAATTTCCAGTGCACTGCACATTTATTAAAAAGGCTATATCTGATGTATTGAATTGGATTACCCTATTTCAGAATTTCCTAGCTGCATCTTTTTCACATTTTAACATCTTTAAATTGGAACATATATAAATGTGTGAACATTTTAGTTGGAGACTTTCAGTTAGAGCAAGAAATTGCCAGTGTCAAAGTCTTTTTGAATCAATGAAATACAGTTACAAGAGTGAGGTAAATGTGTGCTGTGGGATTTTGAAGCAATATAATTGCTGTAGACCTGTCAGACTCATTTACTTTTTCGTTTCTCATAGAGAAGAATATTTTTATGATTCTCTAAGAGTTTCAGAAATCAACTCAATGAAAACCCAGCATTCTCTTAAAGCTCCTTAAAATTTGCAAACACATTCGTGAGCATTATTGAATTTCAAAATCTTAGCAGCTCTGTAAGAAAGGGAGGAAATTGTGTGCCACCCCTTCATACTGAGTCTCATGTATTAAATCCTTTAATAGTTATGTTGCTAGTAAGAGTCGAAGCCAGAAATTCTGACTCTATTTTACGGACATGCTTCAGTGTGAATACAGAAAAGTCATGTGTTACTGATTGACTTTGAGGCCTACGTAGCTATATCCATTTTTATTGAAGACTTAGTGGTATCGTAGAGTATTATCTTTTTGACTTGGGCATCTGCACCTTGCATTAGTCAATGTTAATTCAAGGAATGGCCGTGTTAGCAATATGAATTGATGTATGCCAGCCTGTGTAACTCCAGGTTTTCATCAGGACAGTGACCTTCTGGACCGGCGGAAACATTGCTTCACCGTGCAATCTGAGTCTGGGGAGGACCTTTACTTCTCTGTGGAGTTAGAATCTGACCTCGCCCAGTGGGAAAGAGCCTTCCAAACAGCAACCTTTCTAGAAGTAGAACGGATACAGGTGAGTCTGTGGAACTGTAGAATCTATGACTCCCAAAGCTGTGTGACCACTCCCCTAAAGCTCTACTGTAAATTCAAAGTAGTATAAAAATACAGTCTGTGAGTCTCGACCTCCTTTATGTACATTCAATAATTAGCTATTGTTGTTAAATGAATAGTGATAAGGCTCTGAATGACATTTACATTTTTCCACAATTTTATTTTTCTGGGCTATTTCCTACTACTCATAAAAAATTGATTTCTAATTTTAATGAAACACTGCTCTAATTTACATCTAATATAGAAGATACTCTGATTTTAATTGTTTGCAAGGCTATTTCCTGTTCTCCAAACATGACACCTCGTTTCTAGCCTACTGCCTTCCTTCACTCACGGTGCTCCTTCTAGAAAGCCTTCCCTTTGTCTCTGACCTTCAAAACCATCCATGGTGTTTGAAACTTTTCTCAGTGCTCTTGTCATCCAGGAACATTTTCCTGGTTTCCTGTCTTCCCTGTTCACTGATCGCCCTACTCTTTCCACAGCACTTCTAGTGCTGACCTCTAACAGACCTGTGGCAAAATCGAAACATTACGATTTGCTTGCCACGTGCAAATGGATTAGTAGAGCAAGGACATAAATACGCACACGGACACTTAATTTTGAAAACAAATATGACTATAATATAATATTGACTGTACTTTAATATTTGCCTATAATAGAAGATTAGGATGCATATTTTGTCAACATGTTAAACTAATTTCTTTTTTCTGACTACAAACTTCTGTAGTCAACCCATCAAGTAGCAACACTGTGACATTACGGTCAGAAGAGGACAGGGAGAAGACTCAAATTTTGATTGTCTCTTTGCTCAGTTGACACTTTCTAATAATGCTTCTTGGATCTTCATGTATCTAAAGTATTTTAAAGTAGCAGAGAAATAGTTTTTATAATTTAGCGGCATAAAAACTCAATTCAGGAAAATAGATACTTTAATATAAAATATGGAAAGATAGAAAGTATCTTAAATATTATTCTGTATCAACATCTAAGATGATTTTAAAGCATTAAAATATAATTTAATTAAGTGAAAGTTGATGTTTTTGTTATATATTGATATTTTTAGGCTTTCTTAATTGTCCTTTCACTAGAATATTCCACTTCACTTTGAAACAACGGTGTGGCAATTTCTACATGTTGGTCCCAATTTAAGATTTCATTGTAAGTCTCCCCATGTTTAGAAATGAGATAGAGAAAAAAATATATTTCGCTCTATATTTTGATACTGTTCTTTGAATCTGGGCTTTGTGTTCTCTAAGCTGATTTCCAGTGAAATACTTTGTACTATGTCTTTGCCTATTCACAATGCCAATTTAAGATATATATTGGATGTGAAAAGCAAAATATTTAATACCTTTTTCACTTTTACTTGTTCTATAGATTTTATAACTTCCCCTTTTTACTGCATTAAAATTCAATAATGAATGGCTGAACACTTTGTTAGTGTTATTTTCAATATTCAAGGATGGAAATATATTTACATGAAGAACCTTATGTGTTTTTCTTCTATATTCTCAATATTTCACTACCATTAAAATTGGTAAAAAAATAAAGAGGAAGCATATGTCCTATGGTGAAATAGAAAGGAAGAAAATTAATGAAATGACTTTTAAAATGTTTCTCATTTGAATTTCCCTAAAAAGAATAATATTTATTTATTATTCTCTATATAAGTAATTTTGTACTAAATAAACATAGAAATTAAACAATAAATCAAATATTTCAATATGAGACATAGATCAAGTATACTCGTGATATGTTTGTGAATATTACAATTTATAGAATTAAACAACAGTGGGTTTAAATTTGTAGCATATGTGTATTTGTTTCAATTTAGTGATTATTAAGAAAATGTAATTTAATTTGTAATGCTGTGGGGGGGTGGGGAAGAAGATATAACAACTATACTCTTATGAAGTTGTTACAACAAGCAAACGGAAAGGACATTCTTGGGGGGGAGGGGGGAGAGGGAGGAGGGAGGGAGGTATCGGTGATGGGCCATAATAATCATATACATTGTATATTGACAAAATAAAAATTTAACGGAAAAAAAAATAATTTGTAATGCTGAACTTTTAATGGGAAAATTTTAATGCACAGCACTGAATGTGTTTTCATCGGGCATATTCTCCTTTAAATGATAGTGCTTGAAAATAGCAAACAATTAAGTCTAAACTAGGAGGAAATTATATAGCCTTTAACATTCCTTAATGTTGATAGCAGCTTTAATAAAATACTAATGGGTGGATAAAAGCATGGAAGATGCTCGTGTATTAAACAAATATAATTACTAATGAACTTTTGAGGCCTATTAAGTATATTCTCTAATCTGATTTTTGAAAAATTTAACTCCAAAATGAATAAAATGGCATGGTTATAATTTTTCTCTGTAAATTAGGCTTAGACACATGAATATAGTGTTCTGGTAAAGGCAACTCAATGTATTTCACCATCACTACAGTCAGAATGTGATTTAATTAATGCATTTGTATGTGCAGTATTATAAAAACTAACCAAATGTAAGGACTGGTGTTGAAATTTGCCTGAGATATATGTTTCTGAATCTCTCTCATCTTGCATGTGAATCACAAGTACTTTTCAACATTTGAGTATCCCCCTATAGTTTGAAATTAAATGCAAATAAAACTGGCCTATGGATATAACAATGCTTCATGTTCTATATAACCCCCAAGTTCTAATTTCATACTTGATTTTTATCCTGTTTTTTTTTTATATTTCAGTATCTGTATTTGTTAGTCTTTCCAAACTATTTCTATAAGTAAAATTATAATACACTCAGATCTCAATGTAAAAAGTCATTACTTGTTGATTTTTAAAGAATCAGTAGGTTTATACAAATAAACGGCAGGTAGTAAATGTCTTTGGGAAATAGCTTACACCATATGAAAGGATACAAACTGTTAAGGTCAAGATGTTTTCTTTTTCCTCAGTTACTGAATCTGTGTTTGCATGCCTGAGAGTTCTCTTTCAATAATATCTGTGAAATTGATATGCTGAGATTTTAAGTAATACCTTAAACTTTAATTCTATTTTGGTTTGAATATAACAAATTAACATAATGTTGCCTTACACCTAAATTTTTTTATAGCAGTTTTATTGTCAATATAGCAAAGAGAGACAGTGTGGCACAGCATAAAGACAAGGTAAGATGGAGCAGAATTAGAACTTGTCCCTGCATACCACTTGGCAAGTCCAAAAACCACTCTCAGCTTCTGTTTTATTAATATTAAGATATTGATAGTACTATCTTCCTTATACAATTATTGCTGATACTAAGTTAGATATTGTATAGAATACTAATTACAGGAGCTGTTACATAGTACTTGGTATTGATATTTCAATCACATGAAAACTAAGTGTTTTTTGTTCTTTCTAGTGCAAGACATATGCATGTGTGCTAGAAAGTCATCTAATGGGACTCACGATTGACTTCAGCACAGGATTTATCTGCTTTGATGCTGCAACAAAGGTAATGTGTTCAGGTCAGCTCTGACGAATTTTCTGGAGACATTCTAATTCAAGAATGATTGAAATACCTTTTAACTCCTTTCAGCTTTTTATTGGTTGTCATGTGTCAAATTTAAGATCCATATTTTTGTGAAGAGAAGATGAATTATGCTTTAATTTGTTTATAGGAAAAAAGTTTGCATTTTTAATAAAGCAAATGTAGTACAACAAAACATTACAGATGTATTAAAGTAGCTCTACATCTATCAGTCTGTGCATAAGTATATCTATGTCTGTATTTATGTCTGTACCTATATATTGTCTTTTCCTAAAAGTATGGACATATAATTGAGGGGACATTTTTTCCCCTGTTTTTTTTTTTTTTTTTTATAGTGAACCATTATGATTTTTCTGCATCAACATCTACAAGATCAAAGTGGTGAAACTTTTTTTAGTTTTTATAGCTGATATGTTAGAATTATAGAATGATGAAATTTTGAAGTTTGGAGTTTCTAGATAGGTAGTGGAACCTTTATAAGCACTTGACTACAGGCTTTTGTACTATCTGAGAGGATGCCCTTTCACAGAAGATGCATCTCTGAGTAATGCACTTTGAATGATGAGGGGCACTTTCTCAGGCAGTCATATCTAAAAACAATCAACCATAGCGATTACAGGGTCACAATGACAAAGCCAAAGCATTACACATTATTATTTTTTTAATTGGAGGTGATCTTACAGCTCCACTGACCCACCCACCTGCTAATCTCCTTCCATTCACTGCTTTAGCTTCTGACTCAGGCTCTGGTCACCAGGGAAGACCTTTTCTTTCCTCCCATGAGGACATTTGTTCCTTAGATGCCTGCCACTTTCTCTTTTATCAAAGTATCACCTAAGATATAAATTGATATGTTCCTTCTCACCAATTTTAAGGATTAATGAGTAATTTCTTACTGAGACATATATTTTATCTAGAAATTAAGACTTGTACAGGATTTTCTAAAGCAAATGACAACAAACTAAGCCAGCGATCCACATTTTTGAGGAAGGGTGATTACTGGAGATGGTGGGGAGTGTTCTGATTTTGGAAGGTGGGAGTCTAAGGTGGGGCTGGTGGCCCCAAGCATCACAGGCAGGGAGGACACTGCCTGGAGTTCAGAGATCTTGTAGCTGTTCTTTTCTTTTCTTTTTTTTTTATTACAGTATAATTGATTTTGGGGGGACAATGTTGACTAACATCAACTGTGTACAACATGGGTTGATCAAATCAATTTTTTATTAGTATGTTCATTATTTGAAATCATAATTATTCTTTATGCCCCTTACTCAGTCTCTCCCCAACCCTTCTCCCTTCCCACCTCCAACTCTAGTAACCATAGATTTGTTCTCTGCTTCTGAATGATCAACATATCATTGTGGTATTTTTTCATTTTCTTTTTTATTTTTCTTTCTTTCTTCTTTCTTTCTTTCCAGACTTCTTTCCTTCTTTCTTAGCACCCACTTATGAGTGAGGACATGCAGTATTTCTCTTTCTGTGCCTGAACATAATTTTCACTGAACATAATTTTCTCCAAGCTCATCTACGTTGTGGCAAATGGCACAATTTCAATCATTTTTATGGCTGAGTAGCATTCCATTGTGTGTGTGTGTATGTGTGTGTGTGTGTGCACACCAAATTTTCCTTATCTGGTCGTCCATTAATGGACATTTATGTTGGTTCTGTATTTCGGCTATTGTACATGGAGCTGTGATGAAAATGGGAGTGCAGGTATCCATTTGACATGATGATTTCTTTTCCTTTGTATATATACCCAGAAGTAGGTTTGCTGGATCATAGGGTAGTTCCACCTGTAGTTGTTTGAGATACCTCCATACTGTTTGCCATAATGGATGTACTATTTTACAGTCCCACCAAAAATGTAGGAGGGGGCCCCTTGCTCCATATTCTTGCCAGCATTTGTTTTTCTCAGTCTTTTTAATATTTGCCAGTCGAATTGTGTTAAAATAATATCTCAATGTGGCTTTTACTTGCATATCTCTGATGATTAGTGATGTTGAGCATTCTCTTCATGTACCTGTTGGCCATTTGTATGTCTTCCTTTGAAATATGTCTATTCCACTTCTTTGCCCATTTTTTAATTGGATTATTTTTTTTTTTTTTTTTTTTTTTTTTTTTTACCATGAAGTTGTTTGAGTTCCTTGCATATTCTGGATATTAACCTCTTCGATGTATGATTTGCAAATATTTTCTCCTTTTCTGTATGTCGTCTTTCCACTCTTGATTGTTTCCTTTGCTTTGGAGAAGGTTTTGATATAATCACATTTGTTTATTTTTTTTGTTGTTGTTGATTGTGCTTTTGGGGTCTTATTCATAAAGTCTTTGCCCAGTCCTACTTCATGAAGTGTTTCCCTTACATTTTCTTTTAGTAACTTGATGGTTCTAGGTCTTATACTTTAATCATTGATCCATTTTGAGTTGATTTTGGCATATGGGGAGAGGTACAGGTCTAGTTTTATTCTTCTGCATATAAATGTCCAGTTTTCCCAGCACCATTGATTGAAGAGGCAGTTTATTCCCCCATGTATGTTCTTGTTGTGTTTGCCAAAGATCAGTTGGATGTAAGTATGGAATAATTCCCAGGTTTTGTATTTTGTTCCATTGCTCTGAGTGTCTGTTTTTATGCCAGTACCATGCTGTTTTGTTTACAATAGCTTTGTAATATAATTTGAAGTCAGGTAGTGTTATTCTTCCAGCTTTATTTTTCTTTTGCTTAGGATTGCTTTGGCTGTGCATGGTCTTTTGTTGTTCCATATGAATGTTAGGGTTGTTGTTTTCTATTTCTGTGAAGAATGTCTTTGGTATTTTAATGGGAATTACATTGAATCTGCAGATCGCTTTGGGTAGTATGGACATTTTTACCATGTTAATTCTTCTAATCCATGAACAAGAAATGCTTTTCAAACTTTTTGTGTTCTCTTTAATTTCTTTCAGCAGTGTTTTGTATTTCTCATTGTAGAGATAGTTTATGTTCTTGGTTAAATTGATTCCTAGGTATTTTATTTTTTTTGGCAGCTATTGTAAATGGGCTTGCTTTCTTGATTTCTTTTTCTGCTACTTTGTTATTGGAGTATAAAAATGCTACTGATTTGGAGGTATTTATTTTGTACACTGCAACATTACTGAAATTATTAATCAGCTCCAAGAATTTTTAGGTAGAGTCTTTAGGTTTTTCTGTATGTAGCATCATGTCATCTGCAAGCCGGGGCAGTTTGACTTCATTCTTTCTAAGCTGGATGCCCCTTATTTCTTTCTCTTGCCTGATTGCTCTGGCTAGTACTTCCAATACTGTGTTAAGTAGGAGTAGTTAGAGTGGCATCCTTGTCTTGTTCCTGTTCTTAAGGGAAAAACTTTCAGCTTTTCTCCATTCAGGATGATACTGGCAGTGGGTTTGTCATAAATGGCTTTATTGTGTTGAGATACTTTCTTCTATACTTAATTTTCTGAGGGCCTTTATCATGACGGGATGTTGAATTTTTTCAAATGCTTTTTTGCATCTATTGAGATAGTCACATGGTTTTTGTCCTTGATTCTGTTGATATGGTGTATCACATTTATTGATTTATGTATGTTGAACCATCCTTGCATCCCAGTGATGAATCCCACTTAATCAGGGTGTATAATTTTTTGGATGTGTTACTGTATACTGTTTGCTAATTTTTTGTTCAGAATTTTTGTGCCTATTTTCATCAAGGATATTGGCCTGTACTTTTCTTTTTTTGTTGTACCTTTGTCTGTTTTTTCATTTATCAGGGTGATACTGGCCTCATAGAATGAGTTTGGGAAAATGGTCTCTGTTTCAATTTTTTGAAATAGTCTGAAGAGAATTGGTATTAATTCCTCTTTAAAGGTTTGATAAAATTCAGCAGTGAAGCCATATAGTCCTGGGCTTTTCTTTGTTGGGAGACTGCTGATTACTGCTTCAATCTCATTGCTTTGTATTGGTCTTTTCAGCTTTCTGTTTCTTCTTGGTTCATTCTTGGTAGTTTGTATATGTCCAGAAATTTATCCATTTCCTCCAGGTTTTCATATTTGTGGACATATAGTTGTTTATAATAATCTCTAATGATTTTTTTGTATTTCTATGGTATCATTTGTGATGTCTGCTTTTCCATTTCTGATTTTTGTTATTTGGGTCTTCTCTTTTTTATTTTTTTATATATATAGTTTTTTTGTTAACCTAGCTAATGGTTTGTCTATATTATTTATCTTTTCAAAAAAGCAACTTTTTGTCTCATTGATCTTTTTTATATAGTTTTTTGGGTCATTATTTCATTTAGTTCTGCTCTGATCATAATTATTTCTTTCCATCTACTACTTTTAGAATTGAATTGTTCTTGTTTTTCTAGTTCTTTGAGCTGTAGCATTAGGTTGTTTATTCAAAGTCTTTCTATTCTTTTGAAGCAAGTGTTTATTGCAATACATAAACTTCCCTCAGTACTGCATTTGTGGTATCCCACAGGTATTGGTATGATGTGTTCTTATTTCTGTTAGTTTCAAGGAATTATTTTGATTTCCTGTTTAATATCTTCTTGGGCACATAGGTCATTCAGTAGCCTATTGTTTAGTTTCCATGTATTTGTACATTTTCCAGAGTTTTGCTTGTTATTGATTTCCAGTTTTAATCTGTTGTAGTCTGAAAAATCACTTGAAATGATTTTGATTTTTTAAAAATTTGCTGAGACTTTTTTTGCGACCTATTATGTTGTCTATTCTGGAGAATGTTCCCTGTGCTGTTGAGAATTTGTATTCTGTAGTTATTATATGAAATGTTCTGTAGTTATCCACCAGGTCCAATTGGTTTAAGGTGTAATTTAAAACCTTTTCATGACCCAGCAATTGAAATTGTCATGCAGAGTTTCACATTATTTAAGGATGGCCAATGTTTCTTTTTATTATAACATTATGAAATTAAATGGCACATTTATGCAGGTCAGATTTGGCCATCTAGGGTGTTGCCTTTG